AGTCCTTCCTATGTTTGCCGTGATCGTCATCAAGAGAAGGGGGTATCATCCGAGGCATGTGTTTTTTTTCATTGGGCAGGGTTTTAACGTGGCGGGACCCAAACCCAGCGCACGCGGAACACTCCCAGTTGAATGGCAGTCAAAATCTTTGCATTACTGGGAAATGTACAACACATAGTGGTCAAAAGCGAATATCTCATAGCTCTACATACCTGTATGGTAAACCAAAAAATAAAAAATGTAAAAAATAAACTTTTTTCCGCATACTCTGTAATATTCTTCCGCAATTTTGTAAGGTAAACTAACAATTTATAATCATTGCTTTGCAGCGAAATATCTTATCTTAAATTATACACATAGGTATGTATAAATATGAGGACGTATTGAACATTTTGAGTATGCAGATTTTTTATGCTGGTATATTCATTTATGCTAAATATAACTTGATTTTGTTTTGTCACACTTAAGAAGTAAACGTCTTGGCTGTTCACCCAACCGGTCTAATTTTTATCCATAATCTCAGATTGTACGCTTAGAAATGACACAAAACATAAAGACAAAGTAATAAACAAATGAACTATAAATTTATTTATAGTTTCCGTTCAATCCATTTTTGCTCATTGTCGACTGCAGCCAGGTTTTTACCCTTTTTAAATGGAACTGCTTTGAACATAGAGAGAATAACTTGATACAGAACCATATGATCCACATATCCACTTTTTAAATCAATTTACTAATTATTTTGTTAGCGTTGGGAGTATAATTTGTTGTACAGTGTATATNTGGTATATTTTCAGCAGCCCGATTTTTAGTTTTCGGGCGGTAACGTTATGACATATTTATATTTTATAAACACAAAAGATAGAGTTAGATAGCCTGTTTGAAGACCCTTCTACTGATATCCACATCAATGACATGGACTGAGTAGTGCGGCCTCAGTGGTAGTTTAAAAAATTGGCTTTTTTCGAATTTCAGACAGCAGCCACGCCCACAAAGGCATACGAATCAAAACATCCTGGAACAAAGCCTTCTTAGTTTTTTTTTTACTTTAACNTTTCGTGACGAAAATTATACGCATTTTTTGACTGCCTTTGAAACGTACGGGAAATCTTTTTCNAGCGACATTTTTTCAATTTGAATCGCAATATCTGCACAACAAGAGTTTTCCCAGATATAAGCTGTATACCAGATGAAAGCTAAGGTTTTGGGCTAGATTTGTAGAAACCTAGAATAAAATCGACTGACCAATTTTTGAGAAAATGCCCGAATGGTATATTTTCAGCAGCCCGATTTTTAGTTTTCGGGCGGTAACGTTATGACATATTTATATTTTATAAACACAAAAGATAGAGTTAGATAGCCTGTTTGAAGACCCTTCTACTGATATCCACATCAATGACATGGACTGAGTAGTGCGGCCTCAGTGGTAGTTTAAAAAATTGGCTTTTTTCGAATTTCAGACAGCAGCCACGCCCACAAAGGCATACGAATCAAAACATCCTGGAACAAAGCCTTCTTAGTTTTTTTTTTACTTTAACTCCTGAAAGTTTGAAAAAAATTAAATGATGGTACGTACAGACGCCACATACATACCAAAGCATCTCCTAGTGGAGACACGAACCAAAACACATTTACCACTATATCTTTCCAACTAGTAGCCGGAAATTAATATATAAGGTATTTTTTGAAAGGTATTGGCCTATAGAATAACACTAAATATGTTGGGTGTATCCACATACTCCCTTAAACCGCCAAAAGCAAAAAAACGTTTTTTGTTTCGCAACACTTTAGCCCAATTTTTAAGAATCCGGCTATTCGTTTATGAAGCTTGAATACATTTTCTGGACACACTCTGCAAGACCTTTCCAACGATATCTCAAACATGTCGATTAGACGTCTGGATAAAAACTTCCAAATCTCGTGTATATATAAGCGAGTCATTTCAGCATGCTACTGTGGCTGCTTTCATCACTCGCGCGCACTGCCGTTCGCTGTGATAGGAAAAACCGTTAAAGTTAGGGGGGCCGAAATTATCAGGCAAGCTTTTCGTGGTAATATATTTCAATATCTAGGCAAAAATTTGGAAGTTAGGGGGCCCGGGCCCCTGCCCCTACCTGGCTACGCCCATGTATGGTGTACCGCAGGTAGCTGACGATAATTTACCTTCGTTGTTTACTAAGCTATGTGCGAAAATTAACCTTGCCCCTCGTACCATCCGCTCATCTTTTCGAATGCATAAAATGTTATTGCAGCAACGCCTCTCCAATCATCTTTAAAATGAACTCGGCTTATGACCGTTCACTATTATTTAAAGAGATTACTGGCTTTTTTAAATCTAGCCTCAAGTCTTTAATTATCCGCGACGTCGGCGTCAATGCTGATGGAAAGTTCTTCATCCATGAATGCTTAGCGAAGGCGAAGCGTGATCTAATGCAATACGCAACTCAAATGAAGAGACAGAAACGTTTGGTGAGTGCATTTTCAATTCGTGGGCACATATCCATATGTATGTACGAAAGCATCCCGACAGCGAAGCAGTGAAGGTTTTAGGGCCGGTTGTTCAATGTCTGGCTATCACTACCAGCCGGTTAAACATCGTTATCGACGTTTTCGGCATCATGAATATACCATGTGATCGATAAAGCAGTCGTTGTATTTAACCGGAGCTTCTACCTCCGATTAGTGCTAATCAGACATTGAACAACCGGCCCTTAGATCGTAAAAGCGTCGATAATATTGCAGCTGCTTCATAACATGCACATACACACATATGTTAACATATTTATTAATGCTAGGAGTGTTAGTTTTGATAATTTTTAGTATTAAGTATTTACTTCTTCTGTTTCTTGCTTGTTTCAGTTTCTTATTTTTCTGCTCCATTTTCTGCCTACTTTCTGTATATAACCAGCCGTTTACAGGCATCTCTTGATAATTATAGGTATGAGCAATGATGTAAGTATGAGCACTAACGAAGATAACTTAAGGCTATCTCTGAAACTAACATGCCAGTATAACAAAGGGTTCAATATATGTAATTTTAATGCGCTTAAGAGTAGGCAAACTTGAATATTTAAATTACATTTTTCATGACCTTTGCATTGATGTGGTTTGTATAACAGAGACTTACGCTTTGTGCGATTTTTCAATTATAAGAAACGACAGATCCACTCTTTACAGAGGTGGCGGCATTGCGATTCATTTTAATGCCAGGCTCAATTGTAAGGTTTTACATAAGTCTCCCAGTCTTGATACTGTGCAAAGTCTGTTTGTTGAGTTTAGTGATGGTGTTCAAAAGTGTCTTGTTGTTTGTGTTTACAACCCCCATAAATGCAATGACTTGACGACACTTTTCACTAAAATATCTGAGTTATCTGTAAGCTATATGCATGTCCTCATCTGTGGCGATTTTAATGTTGACATCAGGGAACTGCAATTATTCGTGTTTTTAAGTAATTGGTTGAATAACACAAGAAATAGTGTTAGTGGATATTATTCATTGCAGAATATTCACACATTGCACTAACCCTATTTTACACTCGGCACACAAAGCGAGAGCATGTACAATGACTAAGTTCTCTGTTGATATGCATTGGTGTAGTGCTCAATTCTCTCATTGAGCCATTAAACAAATAAGTTATACCGAAATGAGTAGGAGCACACAGAAGCGCCAATAGTTCAGTTGAGTGATTTTAGTGAATTTAGTAATTTTCGTCGTTTATAGTAACAAAACATGTACAAACGACGAGAAAGCCACAGCATGCGAAGGCACGGTGGAGAGAATACAGAGGTGGCGCCGATGACGATACCGCTACTCGGCTCTCAGTGATTTTGACAGAATCAGCTGTTTTGGTGACGTCATAGTAGAGAAGACAGCAGTAGTGATGTGCTGAGTCAATACTTTTAAGTACCCAATACTCTCGATACTCGGTACCGAAACATTTAGGTTTCGAATAAAAGCGCACATAGGCCAAAAATATGGAAAAAACGCCTAACAAAACCCGAATGTAAGAGCCAATAGAGCTTTTTTACTGATTCAAATGAAAGATGTATATATGTCGGTTCGATGCCATAATACAGAGAAACCCTTACTTGTTTGAAACATTTTTGTTCCAGCTGAATCGGACGATATCATTCTTGTAGGCCTTGGACAGATTCTGTAACCAGTTAACGACAATTTTCGAATCGGTATCGGTTTTGTCGACGTTTGATATCAAATATTTGTAAGTCAACAAGTGCGATATCGATCCGAAACTTGTCGCTAACTGGCTACAGAATCTCTCCCCTGAAAGGCTTCTTCATCCGTCAAAGTATTTTTCTTGAACCTTGGACCGACTAAGGTTAAAACTGATAGAATAATATTTTTCTGTGGCGATAAGTTCAAGTGTTTTAGCCGATATCATATAAATTAGTAATGAAAGTTTTTTCTAAACCTGAAATGCATATAATGGCGAGGGTTTAATGTAAATAATCGGTGATACCGAAAAGGAAGTATAGGGTACCGAAATCTTTTTTAAGTATTGGGTACCGAGTATTGGGGACAATTCAGCACATCACTAGTCGCCCTCATTCTCGCCGCTCTCAGTTGTCAACTCTACGATGACGTCACGCTAAAATTACTCTCACGAATCCTGCTGCAATCGGCGCAATCTTGTATTCTATCAAGCTCGGAACACTTTGACGACTGCAACTTCACGACGTAACGACAGCGACATCATTTTGTCGACTAATGTCGCCTTGAAGCCAGCTTCTTAAACATTTTGAAGACCTCAGCGACATAGCAAACAGCTGATTTTAAAGTTTGACATTTTGGTATATTTATTTCACAAATTGTGTATTTTTATTTAAGTAAATAAGAAAAACATGAACAATCAAGAATATGTGATTAATTTTGCGACAATTTAATTTTGCAGCACTACATCTACTCATTGTCGCCGGCAAAATTAGAAATAGATTTAATTTGGCGACGTCGACAATTGCAGTCCTGCAGCCAAGATGTCGTGCTGTCGTCAAAATAATTGTGTCCGTAAGAACGTGTGTACTTAAAATTTGACAGATGCTGCTTGTCGCTTGCTGTCGTCAGAGTGTTCCGAGCTTAATTCTTGATGCGAAGGCACACTAACACACTCTCACTTTTAGCTCACACTTGTTTATGGTGGCGCCCGCATGTCGCACAGTGTTGGGAAATGAAATTGTTCCTTCAGTACGAAATCTATACAAAAACTATACTTTTCGACTGTAAATTGCATCGACTTTTAATTTGCTCATATATTTTCTGAGTACATGCATACATTGATTCCCTTCAAGATCAATGATTTGATGGTATTCATGGGAAAGTTTATGTAGGTACATTTTACACTTTGAACATAAATGTGTATGCACATATTTTAAGGTACACTCCTTAACAAACAAATTTTTTTAAGTTATTATGCATGGATAAAGGAGACATCTTCTTTGAATTCAGTACTAAAGTTTGACATTTTATTTGTAGTATTTCAAGTGCTTATCAAAACTTGACGACACTCACATATTGACAAGATTGGCCATTTATCTTAAAATTATTTAATTTTAATTATTTGTTTATAAAAATGCAGTTTAAACTTTAATAAAACCCCAAGGTTCAATTTTTGCGCAACATTAAAAAATCAACAAACTTTCGTAAAAATTTCGGGCTTTTAACTCGATTTCCTAGAAATACATGTTTTGAGAATGCCGTTTGTAGTCCGATCAATTTAAATGAAGTGCAAGTTTAAAATTGCTGCGACTTATCGATGATTTTTAATATATATATATTTTTTTTTGATGAAGGTGTTGCTCATTTTCTTCGTTAAAAAAAAATCGCACTTGCACTTTATTATACTAAAATTGAAATAGAAAGCTCGAAATTTTTACGAAAGTTTGTCGATTTTTTTAATGTTGTTCAAAGATTTAAACTTATTTTCATACAGTTTTTGTTAAGGAATTAACTATATTTTTATAAACAAATAATTAGAATTAAAAAATAATAAAATAAATAGTCAACTCTAGTCAATATATGAGTGTCGTGAAGTTATGATATTTAAGAACATAAAGAATTAACGATGACACTGTTTCTAACTATATGAAGCTGATTTCGACATTTTGTTTTAATAAGATTTAGTATCGAAAATATTCTTTCAAAACTTGCCTAGGAATGTGAGGTTGATAGCACACCCTTTGCTATGTTATTATGGTTATTTCAAAACCTTTTTTCAAAACTTACAAAAGCAAAAACGAGAAGGCGACGACAAAAAGATAAAACGAATTCCCGCTGTGAATTTTCAGAGCTACGTATATATTTATAGTATTCATCACAAAATTGTACTAAAAAATACTGCGTAGTAAACAAAATTGTATCAAAAAAGTACAATTGTACCAAAAATGCAACACTGATGTAGAACAAAGCAGAACACAAATAATATTAAACTCGTTGAAATTATTTTCAGCCTCTCACTCGACTAAATGAGTAAAATCCAGCTGGGTAGACTATACTAAGCTGACCAACCGTCCTCCTCTGAGGAGGAATGTCCTCCTCAAACATGACCCGTCCTCCTCAAAAATTTTGTACTACTCTGTCCTCCTTTTGAGCAAAAATTTCCTCCTCTTCAAGTTTTATAGCAGTGATGAAAATTTAAAAAAAATTTCGTTCAGAATATTATTATTTCCTAATCGTACACAATCATTGTATTATCAATTATTTATTCAATCAATTATTTTTTGACAAAATGAAAATGTACAACACTGTCGACAAAAAAAAAAAGGCGTGAGTACTAGGTACTCATGAAATTTGATGTGTATACATATGCGAACGGCAAAGCATAAAAGTACGTTTACATATAAATATAATCTCAATCAAAGCTCGTTAGCTGTCAAATTGGTTGTGCTTGTTATTCACACAACTCGAGGAAAAGTTAAACTTCTTCTCTGTGCCACCGTGGTCACTTTTTTTTTGCAACACATATTAGGCCATTTAAATATATTTTAACTGAATATTTTATTAAAAATACCTTTACAAACCTATTTTCCTTACTAGCGTCAATTTTTGTTTACTTTAACATTTGACATTCCTCCTCTTCTTCGCAAGTATAATCGATAAAACTGGGTTGGACACCAAAAAGTTATCGGTTTAATCTGAGATATTTTTAATTATAATTTTGCATGGCTAATCTCTTTTTCTAATAACAGATTAGGGAGTCAAGCTCGAAAATTAGGATAATATTTTTATATATAAAGGCGATTCAGTTACACACATACAAATGTAGGTTAGGTTAGAAATTAAACATTAATTTCACTTAATTTTATTCATTTTGCTGATTTAATTTTTTTATTCATTTTCATTTTTAATTCTTTTAATACATGACATTATCGGTATGATTGATAAAATATACTTGTATATACTTGTGACTCAAGGGCGTTAAAATATCTTGGAAACACCGCATATAGGTAGATTTTCAAGTTTTATGCGGCAAAAAATATTTTATTGCCTCTATCTACTCAAAATTGTTTATCAAATGTAAAATTGAAATAATTTGTATTACAGATAGGTTATATTAATAAAATATATATATTAGCCAATAATTTACTATTTAAATATATTGACTACCTTTATTTATAAAATGTGTGTACACTATCATTGGTTAATTAGTTTTCGCTTTCAGAATCTTCGCTGGCCTCAAACTATTCCTTTGTCACATCTTTGACAACGGATTTAGAGGGTAACAGCAGCTTTATTGTGTCTGGGGAAAACGATTTGATATTTTTTCTTTTTTTGGTCATGAACCGAAATACTGCTTAAAAACGAGTCCGAGCTCATCAACAGCCGGTTATATATGTCACGGTTACATACTTCACGAGAAAACTTCCGGGAATAATTTTCTCGGTAGTGTTTGTTGTGGGCCTCTTGAGCCTCCCCGATAATTGTCCTATTGTTAATAAGGAATTAGTATCTTGTGCATTGTGGGTGTCATAGGATGCCATGCCGTCGTCGATTCGCCACTTCTCGCTCGCTATGTTTGAGTTCCGGTCGCTTAACGAAAAATTTTGCATGTGAAAGCAACAACAAAGTTAGCTAGCACGGATAGACGATAGCAAGTTTGGTTGTACCTCATTGAGTTCGTTCGTTTCGCCACTTGCTAACTGATGGCGAATCGATGACGGCTAATAATCAATTGTAGCGCATTTCCTCTTACTATGCATATGCCTAAATGTATGCAACCATTTGGCAAGCGAACACAGGGTGCTTCTAATGAAAATAAAAATTTTATGCTGAAATACACATGCTAAGCCCTTCGAAATTTTGTGCTGGGATATGCGTTACAGCTTCGCAAATTTTACCCCTACCGAAACCAAAGATGTATACACATCAAAAATTCACGGTAATATGTTTCGGTCTTATAATTATGCAACTCGTTTGACTTGTGTTTAGAGCAACCTTGAATTGTGTTTGCTTTTTTTAGCAAAGTTAACTTATTCGTTATTTATGTGTTAAAATAAATATAAAACAAATCTTTTGTGTTTTTAATGTGGACTATTTGTCCTCCGGAAATGCTAAAAAATTCTGGTCACCTTAACTATACTCGATAGAGACAAAAATTGCCGCCACAAATAAGAGTTAGTATATTTTGAGTGTGTTCTTGTTTTGGTGGAAATTACTCTTAGTCATTTTTTGAATTAGTGTAAGTGCTCATTTGCACTAATTTTTATGGATCATGGATAAGTGCTCTAATTTTATTAGTACTCAAAGCCGGTCTCTGGTTGACATTTTAACAAATAACGCCAAGTGTAAGCATTTACTGAGCAGCTTTAATGCTAGTGGCATTACTACTGCCAACAAATATGCAACACGCTTTGCGACGGAGTGTAAGCCAAGCATGTTGGACCTTTTTGCCGTAAGTGTAATTGGTAGTGTAAACCATATTGACCAATTTCCCTTAGCTGGTGTATCTGACCATGAATTGATGTTTTTATGTTATAATATAGAATTTTGCAAAGTGAAACCAATTACCCACTTAACGTTTAGGGATTACAAAAACGTAAACATGACTGAGTTATTTGAAGAAAGTGCTTCACTGGATTGGAACTCCTGTTGGTTCTTCTCAGACGTTGATAATAAACTAAACCATTTCAACACGCTGGTAAAATATTTGTTTGAAAAATATGTGCCTATTAGAAATATTAAAATTTTTCACAACCGAAAGCCGTGGTTCACTAAAGCCACTCTAAGCCTTAAAGCGAAATACAGCCTACAAATACTGGAAACGGAATCCCACTGATGATCGTTGGAACCAATATAAAAATTTAAGAAATGAAATAACTGCAAGCCTACGTCAGGCAGAAAAGGCCTATCTCAAAACTAAATTTAATGCTAACGTTCCCTCCAAGGTTATGTGGAAAAATATAAATTCAATGGGAGTCTGCGCTAAGGATAAGAAAACCTGCACCGTTGATGCCAATGTGATGAACTCATATTTTATAGGTGCAAATAAGCAAACAAATATTTCATCATATTAGATGAATCAAACTTTAGCCTTTAAACCTGCCTATGAATTCACGTTCGATGTAGCCACTGAACATGAAATTGTAAAGTGTGTCTACGCCATAAAATCGAATGCCGTTGGTGTGGATGGTATTAGTTTGCGTTTTTTAAAACTGATTCTTCCTCACGCGATTGCCTCACTTACTCACATAATAAATTTTGCCATAACCTCCTCTACCTTCCCAAACCAATGGAAAGTGGCAAATGTTGTTCCAATTCCCAAAAGTAACCTTCATGACTCTGCCTCTAACTATAGGCCTATCAGTGTTTTACCGGCACTATCAAAAGTATTTGAAAAGTTTATTTCCCATCAAATAGTGTTTCATCTGAATGAAAACAACCTCTTGAGTGAGTTTCAATCTGGGTTTAGACCTAACCAACAGCCATAGTAAAGGTTATGGACGACTTTCGCCCTGCCTTTGATAGTAAACTACTCACCATATTAGTACTTCTAGACTTTTCCAAAGCTTTCGATACAGTAAACCATGATATTCTGCTCTTGAAACTAAAATACTACTTCGGTTTTCATGCAACATCAATTAAATTGA